TCTTGTTTCGGTTTCTAAAAGTCTAAATCGTCTAGAGGGTGGTGGTTTAGTGGGGAACCTGTTGCTTAGTCAAATTTTAAATCATCTAGAGTTAGGTGGTTTAGTGTGCGATGTGGTATTTGCTTAGAAAAGTCTATATTATAGTTAGGTGGTTTAGTGGGCGGTGTGGTGTCCGCTTAGAAAAGTCTATATTAATCAGTGAGGGTTAGTTCAGTGGGCAGTGTAGTATCTGCTCTAGCTCAGCTAACTGATAGGAGGTATTGCTTAGTGTGGAGATTAGCAGGCTAATCTCATTTTGTAAACTGGCTTTACTTTTTCTTGGAGAAGATTAATGGAAGCAGTTTGAAAAGTCCTGTGAGACAGATCGTGGTTTTACTCCTCTGAGCAAGGAGGTTTCCACGTAAAGTTGCTTGTTCAATCTTTACTTTTAGCACTTATTTTACTGTTTGTTATTGTAACTGTGCTGAGGACCTGGTCCCATCAAAACAAGTGGACACATATTTTTAGTTACTGTTCTTGCTGAGTCAAACGTCATAGTCATGCGCTTGATTATACCAAATAGTAATAAACTTCTAGAGGTCATGATAAAATAAGTCCTGTAAACTCAGTCAGAAAACCTCATCTCGGCAGAAACTTTTATTTTAGCTTGGCCAATTGAATTTGCATTGGGTTGAGAAGTATAATACATAAAACATTAAATTATTTAGATTGTGAAGCCTTGAGAAACTGACATTCTATGTTGGATCCTTTGTTCTCTTAGATTGACCGCGGAACAGGAGTGGAAGGAAAGGATCAACTGCCTTTTTCAATATGAAACATTACTAAGTTCTTTTGGACTTCAAAATGTTATTATTGTAATTGATGTAAATTGAAACTTGATAGTTAAAAATTAAAATTGTTGATAAATTTACTCAAAATACAAGATTAACAAATTACTAGATCATATTGGTGGAAATTTGTGTTTTGCAGAAGCTCAAAGCTGGTGCATACTTTTGCAATTTAGTGAATAGTCTTTTAGAGAAAAAAATCACTTCTGACATAATTTTCTTTGATAAGGGAAAATCTCCTTAGCCATTGAATGTGAAAGACACAAGCTAGATATTCGCGGTGCAAGATTATTAGAAAGCCAATGAAAAGAAACAAGAATTTCCTAAATTATCATGGAATAGATGAATTTGAAGGAAAGAATATGGATTTTGTGATTAAAAATTAGATGTTAATATTATATACACTTGTTGAATATCAGTTTACAAAATTTATCACAGTTAGCTTAACAAACTAGCAATTCCGAATTTCGTTGTTCTTGAAGGTATGAAGCTGATGAGCATCGACTGGAAGCGACTGCTACAATCAAAGCATTTTGAAAATCTGCAGATACACCTCTTCGAATGAGCGATATAATGTTGTTCATGAATAGTGCTTCACACGGTAACGTGATGGGGCCATCACTTGGTAGTCCAAACTCTTCTTCAGACATGTGCAACAGGTGTCTGATTACCTCGTTTTGAAGATAAGCCAACGGAACCACAAATCGCTTTTGATCGGTTGTATACACCACAAAATTCCCTTTAGCAACTATAGAAGATGATGTGCTACAACTCTCTGCATCATTGTAATTTGATCTTGGAAAAGAAATTCTCTTCCTCTGTTTCGCTGCGAACTTCTGCCATTTCCTTGCCATCTTGATGAGTTTCTTAGCACTAATCATGTTGATTTCTTTGGAATATAGGAAAACAAAAAAGTTGTTCTTTTAAAAGATTTGATTTTCTGCTATCTGCTTGATAATCAAAATGGCTCATAGATGCAGTTTATTTATAGCTAAAGATAGAAAATGAATTTCTATTGTAGCTCCAGTTGTCAAATGTGAGTTAGGCATTAAAGGCAAAATCATGTGTTTCTATTGAATATGGGACCTATTTATTCAATTCTCTGTCACCAATATCTTTAAATCAAGTGGTTCATGACTAAGTCATCAATTTCATCCATTCTTGTGGCTCTTGATTTTAAGGGTGTTTTCTGTTCCAAATAATGAGAAGCAGACGGGCCTAGTGTTGTTCTTAAGCAAATTTATGGACTAAATACTTTGACGATGATCGAGTAGGCAAAACCACGGGAGGCTTCATGTGTCATTGTCTCTCACTAGTTAGGTATGGAACTTGTCATTAACTTATATGTTTACTGGGACACAGGAATTTAGCAAAACACAAGTATCTTGATGTTCAAAAGATGTCCATTTTCTGTTTTCATTTTTTGTTGGTAAAAACTTATCCACACCGGGTTCCATTTACTGTGCAACTCTCCGAATTCGGTGTTCTTTTTTACCGTCATCATATGGAGTTACAAAATATTTCTTGTGACAAGGGGTGTTAAAGTAACTCCGTTTATTCAGGCTAATTGATTCTTAAGGAGGTATTCCAAATGATCATTGTGAAATATATGTAGGAGAGAGCCAAAAGAAGAGATTTGTCATGCAGCATCATACTTGAGCCATAAATCTCTTCTTTTGGTTCAATTATTGAAACAATAGCTATTACTAGCGTACTAATAAAACAAGTAAACTACTACACAAATTGCATTCTAGTTCAACTTGTTTATTTTATCCTAATTTGACTATGAATTGGAGGTTCTAAAGTACCCCTTAAAACATTTACTTTTATCACACAGACAAACAGTAAATAAAACCCAGGCTTGCCCAATCAAGCCGACCCCTTACTCTCCATAGAGTCTTGATCTTTTGGTTTGACCTTTGCCCGACCTAATCCCCTACTGGGTCTCAATCTCAGTCTAGACCTAACTTGGGACCCAACTCGAGACGGCCTGCCCTTTCTTGTGACCCAAACTCTAACCAGACTCGAGATTGGAACTCGATCAGAGAGCCGACCCAACTGTAACCCAAGACACAACTCCCGACCCTGATACTAGATTCGAACCTCAATCCAAGACTTGAATCTTACCCCGAATTAGGACCCAACCCAAGACCTGAATTGAAACCCAACCATGCCTCGATACCCACCCCAACTCGAGACTCGTATTGAGACCCAAACCTTGATACCCCCCTCTCAATATAGGTCCAACCCCAACTCGAAACCCCACCCCCACCCCCACCCCAACCCAAATAGACCTCACCTAGACCTAACTTAGAACCCAACTCCCAACCTTGAAATGACCTCAACCCCGACTCGGGACCTGACCCTAGCTCATGTACCAACCCATGAGTAGAGACTTGACCCTAATTCTAACCTAGGACCCAAAATCCAACCCTAACATAATATATGACCCATGACCAAATTCTAACCCTGACCCTAACCTAAACCTAAGTCTTTACTTTGACCCTGAATCAAAACTCGACTCCAACCCCGACATAGGACCCAACTTTAGGCCCCAATCCGAGACATGACCCCAACCTTTGACCTGGGAACCTAACCCCTAAACTAGGACCCAACACCAATCTCGATCCGAAACCAACCCCGATTTGAGATCTGACACTAACACATGACCTGACCTCGACCCTATTGAGAGAAGTAACCCCAACTTGGGATTGACCATGACCCCTGAATTTGACCTAACCCCCATTAGGGACACAATTATGAACCTAAACGGAACTCAATCCCAATCAAGGTAGGGATGAAAATGGGGCGGTGCGACGCGGGTTGAGCTTAACCCGCAATTTTTTTAATCTGCCCCCGCATAACAACTTTTTTCATTTTCAACCCACCCCACATAAATTTTTAATAATTTATTTTTATAGTCAAGTTTCATATTAAAAGCAATTCATAAAAATAAATTCATTTTTTCATTAAGTTGTATTAATTTAATAGATAGTGACTTAAAAATTTATATTTTAGAGGTCAGTTGGGAAATATGTAAGAAATTGTATTATTTTTTGTTAAACCATTTTCATTTACTATCTTGAATATTTTAGTAGCTTTAAAGAAATTATCTTAATAAATAATGTTCTATCACTCTTATAACATATAAAAAAAAAAAAATTAAGTTTGAACCCGCTTAAAATCACATATACCCATTACCCACAACCCACCCCACCCCTCCCCACATTAATTTTTTTTTAAAATCTACTTCAACCCGCCCTGCACAACCTTTAACCCGCCCCTCCCTGCTTAGTCTTAAACCCACCCCACCCCATTGCCATTCCTAAATCGAGGTAGTGTCCTAGGTTAGGGTTGGATCATGAGTTGGGGGTCGGGGCCTATCTCAGGTTAGGTCTCTAATCGGGGTTGGAGATGGGTCTTGGGTTGGGCCCCAAGTAGGGTCAAGCTGGGGTTGGGGTTGAGTCGAAGGTCAAGTTTTGGGTTGGGTCACGAGTCAGGTCTCAAGTCTGGGTCAGGTCAGAATTTTCATTCCGGGTCAAGATTGTGTCCTAGGCGGGTTCTAGGTTTAGGTTAGGCCAGGGATCTGGGGGCTGGTCGTGCGTCAGGTCAGGACTGGGTTACAAGTTTGTGGTAAAATGTGGGGCTCCGGATCATAGTATTTGGCTAAATTATAGGTAAATGCTCTTGGGACAATCTATTCTCCTTATGAGAAAATATTTTCATTTTTCTCATACCAAGCACACCCTTAAGGGGGATAACATGGTAAATCGTTGGGTCAAATGAAAATAGTTGTTAAGTCAAAAAGTAATAAGCTGGTTAGCTTATTTTAGCTTAAAAGTACTTTAGATATTAAACAAACACCAGTTTGCAATTATGTCAATAGTCTTTTCTTCTTGTTGGAAAGAATGATTTAATGAAGCTTTTGACATTACGTTCTTTGAATTGAGCATAACAACTTACCCAGTGGTTGCGAAAGCCACAAGATATATTTTCTAATTAAATGCGAGACTACTAGAGAGAAAGGATATATATTCAATCAGAATTTCGCGAATTATAAAAAATAAACAGTGTGGAGGCAAGAATGTGGAATATTTGATGAATAATTAGATGTTAGTATTCTGTACACTTGTTCAGTATCATGTATCCACAACAAAACTTATCACAGTTAGCTTAACAAACTAGCAATTGCGGGTTTCTTTGTTCATGAAGGTATGACACTGATGAGCATCGGCTGGAAGCTACTGATACGAGCAAAGCATTCTGAATATCTGCAGCAACACCACTTTTGATGAGTGATATGATGTAGTTCATGAATAGTTCATCACACGGCAATGTGATAGGACCGTCACTTAGAAGTCCAAACTCTTCTTCAGACATGTGCAATAGTTGTCCGATTACCTCGTGTTGAAGATAAGACAAAGGAACCACAAATCGCTTCTGATCAGTTGTATAGACCACAAAATGCCCTTTGCCAACTACAGTATATGATGTGCTACAACTCTCTGCATCATTGTAATTAGATGATCTTGGAAAAGAAATTCTCTTTCTCTGCTTGACCGCAAACTTTTGCCATTTCCTTGCCATCTTGATGAGTTTCTTAGCACTGATCATATTGATTTCTTTGAAATATAAGAAAGAGAAGTTTTTCATAGTTTAAGAAGGTTTGATTAAGTTCTATCCGCTTGATGATCAATACAGCTCATGGAAGCAGCTTATTTATAGTTGAGGCTAGACAATGAATATAAATTTTAGTTAAAGTTGCCATCTTGAGATAAGTAGGTGAGGCAGATTCATGTGCTTTTGTTTTGTCCATACTTCAAGAATTGTGGATATAGCTGGTTGTCTATTTTTAATCAAAGAGGTTGACAGATTTATTCAATTCCGTCTCCATATCTTAAAACCAAATGGTCCAGGACTAAGTCATCACTTTCATCCATTCTTATGCCTCTTAATAAGGGTGTTTTCTGTTCCAAATCATGAGAGGCAGAGGGACCTAGTGTTTTACATCAACAATTTATGGCCTAAATATTTTGACAATAATGGAGTAGGCAAAACCATGTGAAACTTCTTGTGTTGTTGTCTCTCAAATTTCTCTTCACCAAAAAACAATCATGTATGAAACTTGTCGTTAGCTTATATATACTAATACAAAGAGAATTCGAGAAGAACACAAGTATCTAGACATTCAAGAAAACTTTTGTTGTGCGTGTGATTCTCAAATTTCTTCTTCTTTGCCCTCATAATTAGAAGTTGCCAAATATCCCTCGAGACAATGGGTACCAAAGTGACTCCATTTATTCTTGCTAATCGAATCCTTAGGAAGTATTGGACATTTGGAGGTATTCCAAAAGGACATTGTGCAGTATATGTAGGAGAAAGTCAGAAAAGGAGATTCGTTATGCCAGTATCATACTTAAGCCAGCCTTTATTTCAAGAGTTGTTAGCTCAAGCCGAAGAAGAGTTTGGCTTTGATCATCTGATGGGTGGTCTCACGATACCTTGCAAAGAGGATGTGTTCATTGATCTTACTTCCTGCTTAAAAAGATCATGAGTATCATAGTGCAGATTCTTCAACAAATTAAATTTCGTAGTAGGACCTGTAAATGAGAAAAAGAAGATTTTAGATATAGGTCATTTTCAGCATCAACAATTCCTTTTGATACCAGCCTTAGTATCATCAAAGGCTTTTAAATCATTACTTACATATATAAAATGAGACTTTTTGTCATTACATACAAAGGATTTAACAACATGATACAACAAAACTTAAGTTGTCTTTACAAACAAACATTGTATTTAAAGTAACAAGACAATACAATACAATAGGTAATAACCAGCATCCAAAGTAAAATTCTCAGTTCTCATTATAAATTCAGTTATTACATTAAGATTAGATCTTGTAACGCGACAATGCAGAAGTTCCATCTAGACCTTTTTTACGGAAGTACTCACGATAGTCTTTCACTGTGGTTGCACGATATTTTGGAGGGTTATCTTCTGACAACACTTCAGAAATCGGTCCATAAAGCTTGGAAGATGACATTGAATCTGTGCCAAAGAAGCATGGAACTGACACTCTTGGCCCAACTTTATTTGCCAATACTCTATGCTCAACACTTATGTACTTGTCATTAGATATGAGCTGAAAAAAGCAACCAAAATAAGCAAATGGTATATCCACTCTTATCGATCATAGATGGATTAGAAAAGAAAAACAATACTGGCCTACAGAAGATCTCCAATGTTGACCACAAGAGCACCATGCATAGGAGGAACATCAACCCATTGATTCTGGTGAAGCACTTGGAGTCCTCCGATGTGATCTTGTAGAAGCACTGTGAGAAAATCAGTGTCAGAATGTTTGTTGGTGCCTATGGTGAGTTCTGGCTGAGGGCATGCTGGATAGTAAAGGGCCAAAACACCAAGCCCCTCCGCACAATCCATATCTTTGAGATGACAACGATCAAGACCGAGACCTACAGACAATAATCCAAGCAAGGAATAGCCTAATGCCATCATATACTTAGAGTAGTCCATTAGTATTTCCCTGTAACAATTTTGCAAAATTAATGAAACACCACACCTCAATTTTTATCACCACATAATACATTATTCAATTATTGGTTGACTTTCTAGTTCATATTCAGAACATATACCTACATGGTCTTGGAAATTCTTTTGGACTGGGAGGATTAGGAGCCATTTTAAAGAAAATGTAATCTCTCCAATTTGCAGCTCGAACAGAAGGGCTATACAAATCAAAATTGCTAGCATGAACCACCTTTTTCGTGATATCTCGAGTGTATTATTGTTTCTTAATCTCGATATCTTGCTCAAAAAATTGTCGTGCTCCTCGCAACATTTCATCAAGGACAGATATTGGAATGCCATGATTAACCACTTGGAAGAAACCCCATGTCTCCGATGCATCTCTTACTTTGTCCACAATCTCTTTATGCTTGATTGAGTCCGTCTTGTCGATGCTTTCAAGGTCAATCACTGGAAAAATGAAGTGTGTGTCACATGTATCTGAGGAATCTGTCCTGTTTTTTGGTGGTAGAATGAATATTCGAGGTATCTTAGTGATTCCGGCATCAACAAGCCCTTTGACACCAGCCTTTGTATCATCAAAGGTTTTTAACTCAATCATTTTGTCATAATTACTTGTCTGATCAACTGTGGCCTCCAAATTCTCAGTGCTAGAGATTACCATCTTCTTTGCTAGGATGCTATAAACAATTAGGGGGATAATAATAAATACTTATTACTATTCATGCACAACACTATCATCCCTAATGTCCACAAAAAAAATGAAGAGGCTATAAACAAGGAGATTTCATGATAAGCTTAAGTCCCTTTCACTGGTCACTGTCTTAACCCACTAAATTGTTTCAACCCCACCTATATTCCAAATATAGAAGGCTTATGGATGGTAGACAAGCAGAAAAAAGCAAAAAAAATTGTCACTATAGTTAATTGTGTTGAGAATATAATTACGTGTAGGAATAATATCCACGACAAATAACAAGAACAAGAGAGTAACAAGGCACCAAGTTCTTTTAGCATGGAAAGTATAATACTTGAGCTGAGCAATATAGTTCCATTATCGTGAGAAGTTTAACATTTTGTAATCTGAAAAGACTACTATATACTTAAAATGACCTTTTATTTTGCACACCTTTCATTTTATACTACTCTCACTTTCTATTTTTTCTCACGGACTATTTTCTTACACTATATCTGTGGATTACTGACGAGGCAAATGTGTATCAAATTTCGCTGCTCATATTCTGTTCTCACGCTAAAATGAGTAATTATCTTCTATTTCTCTGTTTATTGCATTTTCCAAAAAACAGTATTTAACTTCTTCCTATTTTTTGCATCTCTTAAATTGAACATTTAAATTTAGTTAAACCATTTGGTCCTATGGAAACTGTTTTCTTGGAAAACAAGTTGATTTCTCACTTATTTCTAATATTTGGTTGGTGAGTGAAAAATATTTTATAATATTTGGTTAGTGAATGAAGAATAATTTCTAGATTTTATTTTTTTATTTTTTGCTAAACATTCGAAATAGAACCCGCCGACCCCTACACCATACCCGACTCCCAATCCAAAACCCAACTTCCAAATGGAGACTTGACCCCGACTTCCTAATTGGGACCCGACACCAAATTTTGACCTGGGATCCGACTTTCAAATTAGAATACGACCTCGATCTTGACAACCGATCTAAGATCCAATCCCAACTCCTGAATTAGGATCCGACTTCTGAACAGAGACCCGACGCTAACACCTAACCTAGGATCTGATGCCGACACCCTAACGTGAGACCCAACATCTGAATTGGGACCCGAATTTTGTAACCCCCGACTTCTGATTCTAACGCTCGACATATTTTCTACCCACCGAAAATAATTGCATCCATCGTTTTCCTCAAATAACAAAACAAGGAAACAAGTGAATATCTAGATATTTTAAAGCGAACAACTTAAAATGTTTACCTTTGAACGTGCACAACAACAAAACTTATAACGACTGGAATTTCTTAGAGTCCTCGATGTTTTTATGTTATAATACTCTTTGCATTTACATACATCTTATTCAATTGAATGTACATACCTTACGAACTGTTGAGACATGACTATCAAATTTTAAAAATCAAATATAAAATTAGTAGAAGAAGATAAAATATGAATGAGAAAATGTGAAGTGAATAACCCCATATTTATTGTTGAAGAAGAGATGTAGTTTTACATGAAAAGTTAACTAATAAAAGAAATTGTAGTACACCCGTTTATGAGCGAAATATCTTAAATTATTTGTGATGTATTTTGGGGTGAACATACGGAGTTAACATTCGTTTGGCATAATTTATCCATTTGTAGGCAAATTGTTCGTTTTGATCTGTGTTTTTTGAGAGGAACCATTTTAATATGTTGTATTAATGTAAATAATTCTAATTAAGGTGATAAGAGAGATACAAATAAAATAAAGTAAGAATATAACTTATCACTCTCTTAAGGAAGGTGTATATGTCACTCTTTTTGCCACATCAACATATATATGGGCATCTATTCCACTTTAAAATAATATAAGGGGTTCATATGATCCTCCCAAAATTAGAGTGTATAACAACAATTTTAATTGAAGTTTAAGTGGTTTTTAAGTCGTTTCCCAAATTTATTTGATTTTAAGATTTTAATTATTAAGCTAATTGTAAATGAAAAGGTTAATAATATATATTTCTCATGATATTTTTTAGTTATTCAGAAGCGTGAAATTTAAAAACTAATATGATATTCATGCGTTATTATTTGTACAGAATAAAAAAGAGTACTACACCTTGAATAAAAAAAATTGATCAAAATTTGACCCCTACGAAAAATGTATGATGTGCTTATTTACTTTATACAAATATAGTATATTATCATCATATAATATCATATATTATTAATCATCATCATATCATATATCATATTACTATAAGTGGGAGAAAAAAAGTTAAAAGTTGAATTACGATTTTACCCCTTCTATAAATTAAAATGTTATAAAAATACTTAACTATTTAATTTAAATATTAA